GAGTTCGAATTCAGCAAGGTCTATATAGTTCCAGAACAGCCAGGGCCACAAAGGTGAGACTTGGTCTCAAAAACCCAAATCAAAACCAAGTAATTCTCTAAATTTTCCAAAATTAGAAACGTGTAGAGAGCACGGAGTTGACACGGTGGGCCATGGCTGGCTCCCGTGTGAGTGGAGGCCAAGTCCAGCCTCTCTGCCCTTGTTCATAAACAGGAAGCAGAACACAACACCCTGTTTTTCTCCGTCTCTTCACTTTACAAGCTGAGGCCTGCCCTTGGTAACCTTGTCTGGTTATACAACGCGTGACAAAACAGACTTCTGGCTCCACACTTCCTTTTAGGGAGAAAAACACCCGCTGACCCTTGTGCTTCCTCCTAACTCCCTAGAACTGAGCCCAGTCACACACCAGGTGTGACCTTCAGACCAGGCAAACCCAGCGGAGGACACGCAGGCAGCTGTCACCCGGCCCCACCCCCATCAGGAAGTTGGGGGCCTAGCCCTGCTCAGCTCACCACGCGTAGGTGTCCTCAGCCAATCCGTCCCTGTTGCTGGGTCCCTTTCTCGGTCCCCATTGGTGTCAGCTTTGAAGCAACCATCCCTGGTAGCCTGCAAAGAACGGATCCGTGAGCGCGGAACGAACTGCGAAAGGAATCTAGTGAGTCAGGAGACTTCCAGCACGTTCGAGCACTTCCCCATTCTAGGTCAGGAGGTTTGGAATTTAGGGCTGTGACTTGACACCTAAGTCCCGAGGCCAAGTAGGACATGAAGACGTTGGAGTCCCTTTCAGAAAAATAGACCAGCGACTGTGATAATATCCCCCCAGTTCTCTGTACCGGACATCTGGGGACGCAGGATTCCGTGTGGGTGGCAGTGGCTGTCACTGTGATTTGTCACTGAGTGTCTCTGGTCGCTGTGACTAGGACTAGTATTATCCACCCTTTACCCCCGTTATTGTGGGAGCTTGGCTGGATGGCTCGCTCCTGGCTGGGAAGCCGCTGTGTTGGGAAGCCGCAGCCAGCTCTGAGGGGAGGCCATTTCCTCCCATTGTGCCCTTGAGAAGCAGGTCACCTCTGTTTGTTGTAAGAACACAGTGCTGATGGGTTATTAAAAAAACAAAATGACAATTTAAATGGGAAATTAAGAGGGGGAGTCGGTAGAGGTGCCCAGGAAGGAGCTGCAGGAAGGAAATGGGGGAGGTATGATAAAAATATATTGTATGTATGTATGAACTTCTCAAGGATTATTTAAAATATATATTTAAAAACGGGAGACTGGAGCTGGGCTTGGTGGCACATGCCGCCTTTAATTCCAGCATTTGGGAGGCCGAGGCAGGCGGATCTCTGTGAGTTGAGGCCAGCCTGGTCTACAGAGCGAGTTCCAAGACAGCCAGGGCTGCACAGAGAAACCTTGTCTCAAACAAAACAAAACAAAACGGAAAAAATGGGAGGCTGGGTTTGCAAGTAAAGATGCTTACAAGCCTGCTGATAACATGAGTTTATTCTCTGGGACCCACGGGGAGAGGGAAATAACCAACCTGACTGTTTTGAGTTGTTCTCTGACCTACATACACAACACACCACAGACACACCACACACACACCACATAATACACCACACAGACACAGACACACCACACATACACACACAGACACCACACAGACACACACACAACACACACACATATATCACACAAACACACACCACACAACAACACACACATATACCACACACATCTCACACACACACACGCATAATGTGATTTTAAAAATCCATGTGTCACCGGGCAGTGGCAGCTCACCCCTTGGACCCAACTTAAAGGAGTTAAGTTGAGTCTGAAAGAGGCAGGTGGATCTCTGTGGGTTCCAGGCCAGCCTGGTCTACAAAGCCAGTTCCAGGACAGCCAGAGGTACACAGAGAAACCCTGTTTCAAACAAAACAAAGCAATAATAAAATGATAAAAAAATCTGCATGTTGCCAGGTGATGGTGGCAGAGGCTGGCAGATCTCTGTGAGTTTAAGGCCAGCTGCTTCTGTCTCCTGGACTACAGAGTGAGTTCCAGGACTGGCTCCATAGCTACTGAGAAACCCTGTCTTGAAAAACAAAACAAAACCAAACCTGTGTCCACTTCCAGAGAACTTGACCTGACAAAAATTAGCATATATAATTATAACAATGGGTTTCACTATATTTTTATACCCTTAATGTAAACATTTTTATGTTTGTTGGAAATAAAATAATAATCTATTTCTTACACATTTACCCTCATTATTCTCTTCCTTCTCCCAAGACCCTCTGAACATTCTTCCCTTTTCAAGCTAACCCTTGGCCAGGTCTAGCCCTCAAGCCTTTTTCCTCCTCTTCTTCCCCCACCCCTGAAACCAAGGCTGTTTGGCTCTGAACCTTCTAGACTGGAAAGTGCTGACACCACCAAGGTGATGACTCAGCCAACAAACAGGAATCACAAGGCTGAAGCAAAGCACAGCCAAATATAGCCTGGTAGCTCTGAAGGCCAGCGTCACTTCAGATCCAGCCTCACGGTGTTGTCCCCTGCTAAACTTCTGTCTGAAATCTAGAAAGAATTGACCTGCACAGAAATCTGTCTCAGAAACCACCGGGGTGTCCCAAACCCAGAGAATGACATTTTAATTTCTCAGTGGCATATGACTTCATTCATGGAAATCACAGAAATTAAAATCTGTTTTAAATGATACCTCTCATCTTGACTTTTTATGAATTCCTAAGCTGGGAAACCAGACATGCCTGAAATCTGTGAAATCTAACCTGGTGGTTAGAGGCAGGAGGATCCCTGCAAGTTAGAGCCCCACCTGGTCTACAGCGTGAGCCCAGGGCAGCCAGGGTTATGTATGGAGGCCCAGCCTGGTCTACAGCATGAGCCCAGGGCAGCCAGGGCTATGTATGGAGACTCTGTCTCTAAAAAAAGTAAAAAATTGCTGGGATTAAAGACATGCTCAGCAAAGTTAAGGTTTATTTTATTTTATTTTAGTTTAGTTTAGTTTTTCGAGACAGGGTTTCTCTGTAGCTTTGGAGCCTGTCCTGGCACTAGCTCTTGTAGACCAGGCTGGCCTCGAACTCCCAGAGATCCGCCTGCCTCTGCCTCCCGAGTGATTTTTTTTTTGGTTTTTCGAGACAGGGTTTCTCTATGGCTTTGGAGCCTGTCCTGGAACTAGCTCTTGTAGACCAGGCTGGTCTCGACCTCACAGAGATCCGCCTGCCTCTGCCTCCCGAGTGCTGGGATTAAAGGCGTGCGCCACCACCGCCCGGCTATTTTATTTTTAATAACATATGTGTGTGTGTGTGTGCTTGTGCGTATATGTGTGTGTGTGTGTGTCTGTATGACGTATGCCACGTGCGTTGTCAGGGACGTTTGACTCCCTGAAGCAGTAATCACAGGCCATTATGAACTGACTGACTTGGGTATTGGGAATTGAACTCAGGTCCTCTGAAAGTTATACCTGTTCTTATTGCTGAGCCATCTCTCTGGAGGCCCCAGGGATTCTTTGGTTTGTTTGTTTTTGTTTTACTTTTGTGGTTTTTCAAGACAGGGTTTCTGTGTAATAGTCCTGGCTGACCTGGAGCTCACTTTGAGGACAGACAGGCCTCAAATCCACTTGAGATCCACCTGCCTCTGCCTCCCAAGTGCTGGGATTAAAGGTGTGCGCCACTGCCACCCGGCTTGCTTTGTTTTTCTGAGAAAGTGTTTCTGTGTAATAGTCCTGGCTGACCTGGAACTCATTCTGTATGTAGACGAGGCAGGCCTGGAACTTGGAGATCCTCCTGCTTCTGTCTCCCAAACGCTGGAATTGAAGGCGTGCTCCATCACGTTCCGCAAACATGTACAAATCTTAAGGACTTTGCATCTTATTTAATGAATTAAGGGACTGGGGGATGGATGTAGCCTAATGGAAAATGACTGAAGATTTCCCCAGCACTCAGAGGCAGAGACAGGTGGATCTCTGTAAGTTCGAGGCCAGCCTGGTCTACAGAGCCAGTTCCAGGACAGGCTCCAGAGATACACAGAGAAACCCTGTCTCTGAAAACAAAACAAAAACCTGGGGCTTAGGTTTGGTGGCACACACCTTGATCCCAGCAGAAGAATCTCGGTAAATTTGAGGTCAACCTGGTCTCAAATAAAAAAGCTAAATAAAATAGCTTGTTCCAGGAAAGCCAGAGCTACACAGTGAGATCCTGTCTCAACAACAAAAATAAAATAAAAAGTCTAGGACCTCAATGGTGGGCTAAATATGAACAACACTTTGCAAATTTGATGTTTCCTTAGTGACAATCACACAGAACCTTCCCAAATCCAAGGACACGGAAAGCATAAACAGACTCAAGAACATTCGGGAAAGATCTAGTTCTGTTGGTCTAATGCCAACAGTTTTCAAGAGCTGTGTGGATTTTTTTGCCTTTAAGGAATTGAGATTCATTTTCCAAAATCGGGGAGAGGCTTCCCATTTTATAATTCCTCTACCCCCCTACCCCCCTGTCGGTCCTGAGGAGCCATCAAACATTTATTAAAAAAGCTTTCTCTCATTCCCCTTGTTTTGAGATTTGCACAGTCATCCACCCTGTCACTGTGCCAAAGAGGTGAGGGCTGGACTCAGGGACCGGCCGAGCTGAGGAGAGGAGGTCTCCAAAGGGACCCCAGTGTGACAGGAGGCAAAACCCTGGGTCCCTAGAACTCACTGATGCCACACGGACCCCCAGACGGGGTCAGCTGGCGGGGCTCTTGGCCTCGAAGCTGCACTGCGCACGCGCCGAGCTCCGCTCCTACCGAGCTGATCCGAGCCGGGTTCTCGCGCCGACCCCGTCGTGATTTGACACGTCACACACGCTGATCCCTCCGCGGTGCCGCACGAGGTCGCAGCCCTTCCCCGCCACCCAAAGCCCCCACTCTCTGAGCTCCACACACGAACACGCCTTGAAGTGACCTTGCTGGTTCTAGTCAGCCGCTTCCGCTGCAGAGACAAGAACAGCCTTGCAAAAGTAGTCCCTAACCGCATTTCCGCGGAGTGATCGAGGGAGGGCGGGGCTTCCAATGATTACATAAAGCGACGCCGGGCGGGTCGCGGCTAGTTCCGTCGAGACCTCGAGTTCCGTCGGTACGTCTATAGGAGGATCGCTGCCGCCAGCGCTGGTGAGGAGAAGGCCGCCGCGCCGGCGGGGCTGAGAGGCGGGGAGGGAGGAGGAAGGGGCGGCCCGCGGCCTGGACGTTCCGTTTGCGTGGCCCGCGAGGAGGGCGGCTGTCCCGAGGCGGAGGACCCCGCGGCAAGATGGCGCCCAGGTGGAAGGCTGCGGGGAAAGACGCGCGGCCCTGAGGCCCTGGCCGAGGTTGGGGGAAGCAGGCCCGCGAGCCCGCTGCCACCGGTTAAGCCGCGAACTTGCGGCCACCGTTTTGTTTGCTTATTTATTTTCTGCTATTTTTTTTGGCGGGTTGCGGGCCGCAATGATGTGAGAGCCCTGGGAGATTGTCGGCAGAGGTCGGTCGGTTGGTTTTGCTTCCGTTGCTAAAGGCGGAAGTGCGACTGATACGTGGGGGACAGAGGGGTGTCGGTAGGTGGCGGCTCAGCCTGGCCTAGGACACCCGTGACGTCGCGGTCACTAAGGGCTCATAATGGGTGGTGAGGCCATTTGCCCTGACTATAGCTTTCCCTCACTTGCAAGACAGGGTTTGGGCCTCGGGTAGCGTCTTCAGAGTGAACAGGAACCGGAAAAGTGAGCCTCGGATTGAGTTTCGTTTCTTGCCCGGTGTTGTTTTAGGAGACTCGCTGCGTAGCCAGGGCCGGGGCGGCCTTAAACTGTCAGAACCCGGCCTCTGCCACCCACGCCATGGGATGCAAGGCCTGAGGCGCCATCCGAGACCCCATTACAGTCTCTGGTTCCTGCAGTTTCATTCCTGCTGTTGACTTGGGAACTATTTGGATTACTGACTTGTGGGTCTTTCTGGTTTTCTTACTGTTTTTGTCCATGGCGTGTTTTTCTGACCCACATTTGCTCTTTTGGGGGAGTAGCAGGGTTGAGACAATAGGGTCTCACTACCTCTGGCCTCCCAACTAATTCAAGATCTGTGTGCCCCAAGTCTCCTCATTGATAAGAATGAAGGTGTGCGCTGACTCGGGTGTTTATTTTATTTTTATTTTTTTAAAGGAAGTCGGTCTCTTAACGGCTGTATAGGTCAGACTGGATCTGCTTCATGCCTGTTTGGGGTGGAGACACCCAGTGACCCCAGGTGTGAGTGTGGAACAGGCTTTCCTTCAAGTTATGCAAATAGTCAGGAAATGACATTCAGCTTAAGGTATTGCAGGTTCCGCCCACCAAACTAGTTACCTAGACAGAGCTCATTATACCTAGATGTCTGTCTTTTTGGTTTGTTTAATTTTTTCTCCAGACAGGGTTGCTCTAGCCCTGGATAATAATGTGGAAGACCAGGCTGACCTTGAACTCAAGTCACTGCCTTTGCCTCCCAAAAGCTTAGATAAATACGGTTTTACAACAGTATTTGTGTAACTAGAATTTGGCTATGTGAACTAAATTGGAATGCATTTCACATATACTCAACTGTTAATGCCAGACCACTGACATTTGTATCATTCCTGCCCTGTTTATTTTTTTTGACAGACAATGCAGATCTTTGTGAAAACCTTAACTGGTAAGACCATCACCCTGGAGGTCGAGCCCAGTGACACCATCGAGAATGTCAAGGCAAAGATCCAGGACAAGGAGGGCATCCCCCCTGACCAGCAGAGGCTGATCTTTGCAGGCAAACAGCTGGAAGATGGCCGCACCCTGTCAGACTACAACATCCAGAAAGAGTCCACCCTGCACCTGGTCCTGCGCCTCAGGGGAGGGATGCAGATCTTTGTGAAGACCCTGACAGGCAAGACCATCACCCTCGAGGTTGAGCCCAGTAACACCACTAAGAAAGTCAAACAGGAAGATGGACGCACCTTTCTCAGCACACTGTCTAGAAAGAGCACTCCTTGTGATTGTTCTTGGGCTTGAGGGGAGATGTCTTAGTATCCCCTGTCTTTTAAGCTGTTAACCAGTTTCATTGCACTTTGAATAAAGTTCTTGCATTCCCAAAGGTCTGATCCTGTTTTTGCTTTTATTTGTTGGAACTTGATGTTGAAATGTGCAGATAATTAAGTATGTAAAATTACAAGCTTGGGAGTTAAGTGGCTCAATTAAGCCCACTGGCTCCTATTCCAGAGAACCAAGGTTCAATGTCCAGCATCAACAGTGCAGCTCATCTGTAACTCCAGTTCTAGGGCCTCCAATAGCCTCTTTGGGGCTCTTGCAGCAGGCAGGCAAAACTATGGGTATACAGTTTTTGCTCTTTTTAACTTTAAAAACAAACATGCTGTCACATGCTATTAATTCCAGCAGAGGTAGACAGATCTCTTGATTTCAAGACCAGCCTGGGCTATCCAGAGAAACACTGTCTCAAAAGACTACATGAATGGTTGCCATGGGTAACAGTAGAAAATAAAAATTTGAGGTGGGGCGGGAGTTTTCAAGTTGCGGTTTCTCTGTGTAACTTTGGAGCCTGTTTTGGAACTTGCTCTGCAGACGAGGCTAACCTGGAACTCTGGAGATCCTTCTGCCTCCCAAGTGCTGGGATCAAAGGCATGCACCACCACCTGGCTTTTTAAATATTTGTAGGTGTGATCCTGCTCATGGTTGAAGATTGGAATCAGTTTTTCCACTCTGTGGTACCCAGGACTCTTAACTTCCTCAGGCACAGCAGGCACTGACTGACTTATTGCTCATGTTGGAGTATGTAATACTTAGTGTTTCAAGTGTTCAATTTAGTATATAATTCTGCTGTTTTTGCTTTTAGCCAGAGCTCCCACTCCAGTGTGTTCAGCTTCATGCATACACAGGTATAGCTCAGGAACAGTGGGAGAGAGCTGTATTGTATACACTACTAGTTCACTTCAGACTTCAGTATTAGGTTTAACGGGTCATCCTGTGCAAAGGGGAGAAACTTTCTCAAAAACAGGAAGCCCAGGTCACACATGTATTCAATAAGTTCAGGCATGTCAGGAGCATGCAAAGAGAATTGCTCTGCTTCTTGGGGTCCTATCTGTAATGAATGACAGCTTTTTTTTTGTTTGTTTGTTTTGTTTTTTCGAGACAGGGTTTCTCTGTGGCTTAGGAGCCTGTCCTGGAACTAGCGCTGTAGACCAGGCTGGTTTCGAACTCACAGAGATCCGCCTGCCTCTGCCTCCCGAGTGCTGGGATTAAAGGCGTGCGCCACCATCGCCCGGTTTATGAATGACAGCTTTAAGCACTCCATAGTTTGTCTTTGACAGCTTTAAGCACTCCATAGTTTGTCTTCACATCTGGTATTAAGAGTTCACTTACAGGAGTTAAGAATGTTGGCCCCTCTTAGGACCCAGGTTCAGTTCTAATCACCTACATACAGCTTGCAACTGTCTATCTTCAGTTACAGGGGATCTGGCATCTTCACACAGACATACAGTAATCAATGCTGATAATAAGTTATTAAAATTTACAGTGGTTAAGAGTACTGTCCTGAGTTCAGTTGCCAGCAACCATATAGTAACTCACAAACATCTCTAGTGGAATTTGAATGTTTTGGTATAAAGATGTGTACATTAAATCTTGACGTTCACTTACAGGGGTGGGGTTGAGTCAGGATGGGTTGAACAGTACACGACTCCAAAGGGGATCCAGCAGCAGCCCGACGCTTCCAGATTGGCACTCCTGGCAAGCAATTGGTCACATGTAGGTTTAGTAATGAAGGCTGCAGCACCCCCAAGAGGTTGCAGTGACGCTGGTGACACAGGCCTTTTAACCACAGCACTCGGGAGGTCCAGGACAGCCAGGATTGTTAACACACAGAAAACCTATCTCAAAAAGAAAAGTTGCTTTCCAGCCCTTACTCAAAGGCCCCACCACAGCTGAATTACACAACACCCCTTGGATTACATACAGCAGGCAAAATGTCTCAAAATTAGCCACTTTCTCCCCTAATCTGCTCATAATCTGTATGGTCCCCCATTCTCCACCCAAATTGTCCTTTTTTTCTAAAGCTGTGACTCTTCCTAGAGGTTTATTTCTTAATTTAGGGTGTCTCTTGTAACCCAGGCTGGTCTTGGAACTCCTCATACCTCAGTGTTGTGCAGGACTGCCTTCCAAGCCATACTGCCACCATCTTCACCAACTGCCAGCTTGCCATGTGATTTCAGCTGGACTTGCTGCTATTGCTTTTATAGAAGGAGGAACAGAGAGTGTCATGGGGCCATCATCTAAATATGCAGCCACTCTTCAGCAGATGACTGCAATTCTGTCCTTACTCTATATGGCCTCCAGGAGGAGCTGAAGAAAATAGGCAGAAAAGGAATAGGAGAAGCGGACTTCATCTCTGTAGCCGCAGTGAGGTGGTCATCCATGCCTTCCACTGCGGCTGCTTTTGGGGTCATCCACACTCCTGCTCCCATCCTTCACACACACTCTGTAAATAAATTCAATAAACTCATTAGTGTTTCTGGGTGAACTTTGGTGGACGCAGACCTCCATTTGTCCTTGAGACCTTAGGAGGAGGGGCAGATGTGGTTTCCATCTCCTCCAGGGAAGGGATTTTAGCAACACTGAGTCCAAGTGCTGAGACAGAATCCTTTATATAGCAGCTTAACATTATTTGGTAGTCAGTCACGGTGGCAGCAGCAGCTGGAACTCAAGGTGGAAGGGGTGCAGGGATAGAGGGGCTCAGAGGAGACAGCAGACGATGGAGCAGGAGCCGAGTAACGGGAGAAAACCTGGGTGCCTCCTGCAGGTGGGAGCCTGCCTTCCATAAAGGGCCAAGTGCCAGGTGTGGAGCAGGACCCAGACACTGGCTTTCTGTTTTAATGCTTGGGGTGGAACCCAGGAAGTACAAACTGAGCATGTGAAAATCCAGGAAAGGGATTGATTCTGTAGCTGGCACTGGGAACTCATGATCTCGAGCTAAGGTGCTTGCTTGTAAATCCAGGAGGCACATGTTCCAGCTCCAGCACATACATGACACCTGGTGGTGCAGGCCTGCAAGTCCAGAGAGGGCAGTGGAGGCTGAGGCCTGCCTCATAGTGAGTGAAGGTGACCTTGACTACACTAGACTCTGTATAGTTTTTTTTTTGGACTTTGTTTTTTTCACAGTATATGTAATTAACATACTTTTCCCTAATAGGGTTTATTTTGTGATTGTTCAAAGCTTTGTTGAGCGCCTGCGGGGAGGTTGCTTCAGGAGAAGAAAATCAAAGCACTGGGGCATTTGAAGCTCTGGTCCCTGTTTCTAGCGTTACAGCTGGGCTGTTAAAGATGTGGCATGCAGACATGAGTTCCCAGAGAAATGAAAGGAGACACCTGATTCCTGTGACTTCTTGGAGTAAGAGAGCTGTTTAGATGTCCTCTGGCAGACCTGTAGGCTCCGGCCATAATTGGAGGTGGAAACTCAAGCTGAGTTTTTCCCTCGTTACTGGTTTTTGTCCTCTGTTTTAAGGACATGAATCTTGAATAGGAGATGAAGATTAGGATACATCGTGTCTTCCCCAGAGATGGTCATAGAAAATCAGGACCCAGGGGGCTGGAGAGATGGCCCAGTGGTTAAGAGCATTGCCTGCTCTTCCAAAGGTCCTGAGTTCAATTCCCGGCAACCACATGGTGGATCACAACCATCTGTAATGAGGTCTGGTGCCCTCTTCTGGCCTGCACGCATACACACAGACAGAATATTGTATACATAATAAATAAATAAATAAATAAATAAATAAATAAATAAATAAATAAATAAATAAATAAATAAATAAATAAATAAATAAATAAATAAATAAATATTTAAAAAAACCAAAGTAACATACCTTTAAAAAAAAAGAAAATCAGGACCCAGGTTGGGGGAGGGGTACACACTATAAGCTAGCACCAAGGAGGCAGGGAGGAGGGCCATTGTTTAGGCCATCTGGGCTACAGCATGAGACCCTGTCACAAATAACTAAAACATCAAACAACCTCCCTCACCTCAAAACTCAGGGGAGCTAGCTAATCTCTGAGTTTGAGGCCAGCCTGGTCTACATAACAAGTTGTGAGAGCTTGTCTAAATAAATAAATAGTGCAGGAGAGGACTGAAAAAATGGTTCAGCAGTTCAAAACACTTCCTGTTCTTGCATAGGACTCAAGTTCAGTTCCTGGCATCTGCATCAATGGCTCACAACCTCCTGTAACTGGCTCCAGGAGACTCAAGTCTCTTCTGGACTCTATAGACAACGAAACTCAGATACACAAACCCACACACATACACATAATTAAAAACCATAGCAATAAACCACACGTCTTTAACTCAGCACTCAGGAGGTAGAGGCAGGCGGATCTCTGTGAGTTCGAGACCAGCCTGGTCTACAGAGCTAGTTCCAGGACAGGCTCCAAAGCCACAGAGAAACCCTGTCTCAAAAAAACCAAAAATAAAAAGTAAATAAATAAATAAAATAAAAGAAAGAAAAGAAAAGAAAAAGAGTGCTGGAAAGATGACTCTGGTGAAGAGCACTGGCTGCTCTTCACCAGAGGTCCTGAGTTCAATTCCCAGAAACCACATGGTGGCTCAGAACCATCTGTAATGAGATCTGGCGCCCTCCTCTGGCATGGAGGCAGAATGTTGTATACATAATAAATAAATAAATCTTTAAAAAAAAGAAAAAAGAAAAGAAAAAGAAAACGAACAAACAAAAACCCCCAAATATAAACAAAACAAAGTAAAACCAAAATATAAACAAAGCACAAAAAACAAGCAAAAATCATAAAAATAGCAGGATGTTTTGCTGTACATCTTTTTATTTATTTTATATCTATGAATGCTCTATCTGCATGTACACCTATCTCATAAAAATAAGAAACAGCCAGGTGGTGGTAGTGCATGCCTTTAATCTCAGCACTCAGGAGGCAGGCAGATCTCTGTGAGTTCAAGGCCAGCCTGGTCTACAGAGCTAGTTACAGGACAGCTAGGGCTGTTATATAGAGAAACTCTGTCTCAAAATAAAAGAAAAGAAAAGAAAAAAAGAAATGTGCAGAAGAGCGTGGGAGAACTGGCTC